TTTTCTTTGGCGTGATCTTCTTTCTTTCATCCATCATGGTTTCCTGTTGGATAATTGTAAAGCACAGAAAAGGGTAGGTATGGCCATAGTCTCCTAGAAAATGTCTACGACCGTACCTGCCTCCTCTTGAAAGCCAAAGAGAAGTGAAAGACAACCTCAAAACAAAACAAAAAAAACCCCCACTACTACATAAACAGATGTAATAATTCATAATTATAATAAAGAAGGCCCTTGATGTACATTATGGATAGAGAGGTATTCACACTAAAAAAAATATATATGATAAGAACATTTTTTTCAAGTGATACTTAAAATTATATAACCATTTGAGAGATCTGTGCCAGCTACTGAGAGAAGAAACTAATACATATTTTCTATTATCTTATAACCACCATCGATCAGCTGGATAGCCATTCATTCAACATACACTAAGATTGTGTTTTCTCCCACCCCATGTACCACTTATTATCCAAGACCACTTCTAGGCCTTTCCTCAGTTAACCACCTAGTCATTGCTCCCTGGAAGCCCCTCCCGGACACCTACCGGTACAACCCTCTGCTCTTCCTCATGGAAAGATCTCAAGTTTGCCCTTCCTCATCCTGTGAAAACTTTGGCTTCTGACTCACTCTTCTTCTTTGTCTCAAGGGATGCCCTCGTTCTAATTTCCAAGAAAGGGTAAAGAGTAACTGAGTAATGAGGAAGTACTGCTAAGTGGTGCAGTGAGTTAACTCCTTGTGCTTCCACCCTTAAATCCCTAATACCAACACTTATTTGAAACGTAAAGGTACCGGTATTGTATCATTTCTCATTTCACCGATGTACAATGAAGTGCTTACACTTAATCCCTGAAGAGGCAGAGCACCATTACCAGGTGAGATCATGAGCTTCGCAATCAGTAAGAGCTGTGTTCACACCCACTCACTAGTTATGAAACCCTCGGCAAGACACCGACCTTCTCTAAACTTCATTTTCCTTGTCTGTAAAGTAGGGACAATAGTTCGAACCTCACTTAACACAATGCCGCCCTTAGGATGAAGGTCAGAAAATGTGAGCTATTGTTACTTACACGTGATTGTTATTGGCATTTAAAGGGGATTAGATCCTTGGAATTACTTGTCAGTCCTCCTATGCCTCATGACAAGGACTGTGGACGTGAATTGTACAGAAAACAGAACTATCTTCTCTAAAGCAGAAGAAGAAGCCTTGAGTAAGATCCACTGTGCGGAGCCACTGACCTTGTCAGGCTTAAATGTCACAATCTAGCGCTGAATGATTATTTGCCAGTCAGAATTGCTTTGGAAATAAGTGGTGTTTTAAGGCATGGACACTTGTCTATAAGGATTCAGTCTTCTGACACAATGTACAGGCTGGTTTTCATATTATTTCCTCCTCTGTCTTTTGACTTGGTCTTGAAAGGTGGGATTTGGTTATGTTTTCCTTCTACATATCTTGTAAAAATTCCAGAGACTTAGGCAAATTCTGTCCTAAATCTCAAAATAAAAGAGACTGACGAATTTCTTCCAAGACTGAAATGTATATAATTAAGATATTTTTCCTATTTTTCTTCTTCTGCCAATTAGCAGTATTACAGATGAAAAACCTAAGGAGATGATCCATTTACATCCTCAAGAAGACAGCGGTGTAAGGCCTCAAACTCTGCAAACAAATCAGGAAAACAGCAGGTACCTAATGTAAATACTGAATTCATAGTGTCTTCAAGAACTCAGAGCCTGAAAATGAGAACAGGATCTGCGTATGTTGCTGCTCTAGTTGGATCGCTGGTCCCAGGGGAGTTCGAAGGTACTTCAGGAAGTGGAAATGCCTCGGTGGTTGTCTCGTTGGATTCTGGTTGTTTCCAGGCAGTTGGGTGAGGACTGTCAGCGCTAAGCACAGGCACTGTTTTCACAAAGCATTCCTGTACTTTTGTGCAGGGATGCTATGCACCTTTGAGAAGGAAGCTTTTGTTTTTCTTGTGGAACCCAAGCATTTGCCACGTGGGTGTGCCTCTGGGTCCCCCACTTCCCTTAAATGCACAGGGTCACCTCGGGATCCTGCGGAGACTCTGGGTTTCCTGCCTCCCCACTCTCACTGAATTCTCTGCCTCACCTGGCCTCCTATGACTGCTCTCTCCCTTGTGCCCCCTTCCCGCCCCCCCGCCGCCCCCCCCTCCCCGGAGGCTTGTCATCACACCTCATGCCTGCATTCCGGGAATTCAAAGTACCAGCTTACTAGCATAGCTGCTGTGTGGTAAATGTTTAGCTGTTTGCTAAAGGATTGGGGTGAAAAGGGAGATGATGCTACAACCCCAAGTGGCACACAACGTAGAACTGAATGGTCGAAATCCCTGAACTGTAAAGTAAC